GAGCCTCTTTGCGACCCTGGCCGCAGCCGTGACCGACGAGCTACGTCCGCGCGAAGTCAGGTTGTTTCAATATATAACAAGAATTTTATCAAAGCATTTTTACCAAGAATAAAAAAAGCATATTTTTTAATTCAAAAATACACACATATCTATCGATGAAATATACAGGATATTCCATGCTTTCTTTCTATCTATTGTACATTCATTAGCGAATTTGAAGATGTCAAATAAAATATTTTTTTGTTGTTTTTTTTTTTCGTATTTTTAGTTGTTTGTAAAAAGAACTCATTAATTATTTGCGCAATAGTTAATATTAATGCATAATATTGAAACTATTTATTCTTTCGTTAAAAACTCAACTCATTTGAGTTTTATTTGCTTGATTTTCACTATGCACATTTTTCCCTCGTTTTCTTCGTATCGTCCGTTGAGTGAATTATTCGGACCCGCCTTTATCAGATCTCCCGGCAACCATAGCTTCCGAAGGAACGGTTGATCCCATCAGATTTTTGCTCTCAGGTGAGTGGTTACAGGAAACCGTCCAAGAAATCTGCTCTTTTCTCTATTGTTACAGAATAATCGCACACTTTAAAAAATGTCGGTGTGGATTTAACCCCTGCGGTGTCTATACGATTCTCATTGTTTTGGTATTAAATTAACACTAACATGGTGCGGATTTAAAACCTTTGGTGTTTATATCATATTAAAAATCCATGATGTTGGTATTAATTTAATTAAATAATTATACAGACACCGCATGGTGTTAAATTTACATCGCTATTTTTTAGAGTAATTCCCGTAAGAAAAAGGTTCGAAAAATCCTTCAAATGCGGCAATGTATCAAGACTATTTGATTCTTCGATCTTTTTATAATACTCCAGATTAAAATTGCTCTTTTTAATGGATTATCAGCTTATCAAGGAACCGCAGTTATCAATTTCGCGTGTTTCATAACACCTCGTTCATTTCATTAACTGCAATTCATGAGGCAAATGCGATTCTGTATGAATATCGCTAATTTAAAGAATATTCATATAATTTAATCATTATTTGAATAATCAAATAATCACAATTTCATAAATCTTTGAATTTGTCAATTTATATTTAATTTTTACAAGGATTCATAATCTTCAAATATTCTTTAGATTTTGGATAGATATTTTTTAAATAATTATTATCTCTTGCCGAAGATATATATATGAACCGTTTATTTTGAAAGTGGCCTAAGTCCATTTTTCAATGTTTTGTTGTTGACCTTTGTAGTAGCGTGTACAACTTGAAGTTAGCTGTCATAAACAACATTTTTTTTTTTTAAATGGACTTGGGTCACTTTCAAAATAAACGGCTCATATATATACATAAACAAAATATCAAATAGAAAAGCTGTCATTAATTATTCTCAAAGTCTTATATTTCATGAATTTATGGTTATTTGAACTACTAATTGGAGATAAGAAATTATGAATTGTGTAAATAATAACAGATTTTTCAAACACATTCGTAAAAGAGAGATCTGTGAAATGTTAATTCAAAATATAAATCTGTAATTAATTACATTCTCAATGAAAGATTAAAAATTATTTACGACTATAAATTCCGTCTTTAACTTCCGTTTTTATTTTTTTACAATTTTTTGACTAACTGAATTTAAGTTAGATACAAGCAGTTATTTTCATAAAAACATAATTTATAATTTCATTATAATTTATATATATTTATATGTGTGCAGGGGGCACATGAATTTCTTTTCTCCTTTATCACAAATCCGTACATAAAAATTCAGTTAAGTTGAAATTTATGAAAGTAACTGCGGATATAAAAACTACAAAAACTATATACTTCTCCGTATATAATCTTATATAAAATTAGTAAAAATGTTTTTAAATAAAAATTTAATAATAACAGACGAATGATTTGATAATATTTCCAATTAATTTGATTAAAAGTTAATGAATATTCATCTATTATATCGGAATATATGTGGAACGATTTACGGATTAAGATATATTTAAAGAATTAATTTATTCAATATGCTTATTTTTGCATGATTTATTAAATTGTATAATTTCGATTTTTTATACAAAATATGTACTACCGCCAATCATTTGGTCGATAGCTCTTGCGACATTTTTTCTCAACTTTTACGTGGCGCGCATTTCCTGGAACCTCGTTATCGACATGATATTATGTTTCCGAGATATGTGATTTATTTATATATATATATATATATATATATATATGTATATATTTCTGCAATATGGTTGCAATTATATTTATAGAAATGTAATACAACTAAATGTAAAGCCTTAAACACAATGCGAGAGAATAGCGATAGGAATAACACAATTTCAACCTATCAGAAAGTGTATATTCTAGTGTATCTGATTTCTGATAGGTTGAAATCGTGTTATTCCTATCGCTATCGCTATTCCTTCGCATTGTGTTTAAGGCTTACCTGTAGCAAAAATTTAAGATAAGTAGATGTTCTATAAATTTTGTCTTTTTTGTCTTTGAAATATTAACACGGGAAAGCTGGAGCTTTTGCTAAGCAGAGGTAAAAGATTTGTTTTTCACAAACTTTGCTTATCGTGAGCTGAAAGGACAGAAAGCAAATTGCGAGGGCTTTCTGCCTAATGTCTTTTTCTCGGATGGTTTGCGGTGGTTCTGTCAGGATTTATAGAACTCAAAAATCTGTCGAGAAATTTGCTCCACGTAGAGAACGTTTTACTATATAGGGATCCTTTGAGAGAAATTCCTGGAGGCTTTACGGTCGTGAAGAAAGAAATGGGTTCTCGCCTTGTAAGGGTTCGCAAGATCCGAATCCTGTTGCCAATTGCAACAGGAGAATTCGAAACGAGTATCAGTCCCAGGACGAATAGCTAGACACGTTCTTCGCGGTATCGTTCTCTCTTTTATCTGTACGAGATATAACATTCGCTTTGGAGATAGTCTGTCGACGAAACAAAATATCAAGCAAAATAAAAGTGCAACGAAATGAATGTTTGATTAATAATAAAGACAATGATGGAGCTATAGATAGAATATTTTACTGTGAAGTGTATCTACAATAATAATATAATAATACACTGTTAAATTTTATCGGGCCAAATTAACTTAATGTGAGTCGTCACTGCTCCTACTCAATAATATCATTATTTTTTATTAAAACAATGGTTATGTTTGACACTATACAGTATCAATTTAACATTATATAATGTCAAACTTAATTATCATTTTAGTTAAAAATAACAATATATTTAGTAGGAGCAGTGGCGACTCACGTTAGGTTAAATTTGACACTATAGATTTAACAGTGCAATTTTTGAATGCATGTGGATATACTGTGATGTGTTACGTACTTTTTTGTTTCAATATTTTTATTTTTGTTTAATCATCGCAATTTACTTATTATCAAACTGTAAGATTTTTTTGTTATTTTCTGGTTGGGAATGCAAAATTTCTAACCTATTACTTCCTCATATTTCAAAGCCATTATATTAATTATCAGTTACTAAGAACCAAAGAAAATAATAAATAATCCAAACTTGCTTTAATAGGGGAAAGTGGGAGAATTGTGCGCACCTAAGGGATATTTGTTTTTCTGGGATGGTTTTCTAAGTTCAAAGCGATATAAATAGGGAAATAGAAACTATAAACATTCTCCTACCATTACGTATTCTTATATTGAACAGATTTTCATTCAATAAGGTTGTATTTGGCAAAAAGGAAAAAACGGAAAAGCGAAAAAATTTGTCACGCGTCGGGTAATTGTGCGCATGGGTTAGGGAATTGTGCGCAAAGCAAAAGTTGTAGGAAGTGAATGAATTATGTTTTGAATTATGTTATGAATTATGTTTTGCATTCTGACAAGAGAGATTCAACTGAGTATTTACCTATAATCCGCACAAGATCGAAACTGTCCTTTAGTGAGTCTCGTAAAATCAATCCAAAGTGGGGTTATGAACCTATGTTGATATGTGATAACTTTTTATAAAAGTAAACAAGTAGTGACGTCATAATCTGAGTATAAAATACTCAGCTCACTTCAAATTCAGTTTCACTTGTGTATACTGGAAAATAGCTATATAGTCTATTGAAGATGGGTAATTGTGCGCATTTTAAACCGCCTGCGCACAGTTACCCGCCACGATCTGACTCTATATGAAATATGATTACTTCAATACTAGTTAACCAAACTTAATAAATAACGGGTCGAAAGGCGCACATAATAACTATAGGCGCACATACTTTAATAACGTATGCAACTTTAAACCAACAAATTAAAAAACGGACTTACCACCTTATTTTCTGAACGCTGAAATAACAAGAAAATGTATATTTTCACTTTTTTATCTTTCACTGTTTATTAATGTACTTACGTCATATCTTTTGTGATTATAACTTAAGAGGACGACCTCCTGCGTAAAAATTTCATCACGGCGATGTCTCCATCTATCGGCAAAGTACCAAACCAGGATGCGCACAATTACCCGCTGCGCACAATTTGCCCACTTTCCCCTACATATTAATAAATATCAAAATAGAATAGAAAGAGATAAAGAAATTTGGATTGTAAAACTCTGTGTGAAACTTCTTGGGACAAATCTTAGATAATTTTTGTTCACATTGTAAACGCAATACAAATGTTTGAATTGGCCATTATGCTTCTTTGATAGGCAATGACGTACAAAGATCGAATTACGATCTTGGGATCGAGCCATGATCGATTTACCGAGTATAGGCGCGATAGCTGTCTTCCGGTTTATCAGTCTCCTATCTGACCACAACAAGGATGACGCTGTAGCATCCTTCCTGGATGCAGGGGTCAGCACCAGCTTTCGGGACGAGATGGGCTATTGATATGCGGTACGCGTGGCTGCCATCGAAACGCTTTTTCCAGACGCAGGAAACGAGAGAGCGCGATTCAACGGGTGCGATTATGGTCGATTGATTCGCAACGCTGCACTGGCTAACCCAGCGATTCGATGGCGAATGTGAGCAGAATGTGCCGATGGATCCACGCGGTAATAGGTCCTTTTGGATCTATGATTATTTTTTAATAGCTGTAGCTTAAATTTCGATCTTTTATAGCGTAAAATTTGCATATTCAATCAGCAAAAAATCACACACCAGCAAAAGAAGATTTTATTAAGTGCATAAATAAAGAGCCTAATTATTTTCTAATTAATACATATAATAAAGCATTCTGCAAATAAGGGTACAATCGAAAATACAATTATTACATTTTTCTGCATGAAGAAAATACATAAACGTATAGTATATGAGTACAGCGAGTAATAGCAGTTTATACAAATACAGTAAGTTCCACATTATTTAAATATGATATTCAATATGATATTAAACTCCAAAATTAAAGAATTTGTTAAATTAATTATGTTTACAGACTTAATGAATATGTGTATTTATATTAATAATCTGTATAATATATTGTATGTGATTCTTTTACCATTTTTTAAATTAATACTTTATTTATAATGTAACCGGACCCAATTTGGATACCCCAAGATTTGAGAATTTTTAAAATTTTTTGCTGAGGTCAAAATTGAAAATCAATGGTCACATTCGAAAGAGGGAACATTTTTGAACGTTTAAAAAAAATATGAGTCATATTCATATATTCATATAGATGCAGTAACGATTTAAATAAAAAGTATAATTTGGACCACTCTAGCAAAATTTGTACTCAATGTGAACTACGTATATAACTTTTCTTTTTCATATGAAAATATTAAAAATGTGGGACGTAAAGTGATCCGAAGTTTTTTTTTTGTGTTATTGTTGAATGCGAATAATATGAAGTCTTTTAAAATATAATAAATTTAACTCACACCACTTTTTAATAATATTAAAAAGCCGCTCTTATTTCCTAAACAGGTTATTTTTTGCTAATGTCAATTGGTTATATTATTATTCGTCACTTGCTTCACTTGCGTCACTTGCGTCACTTACGTGCACTTGCGTGCACTTACCGTGGTGCATGCTGGGACTACTCGGACATAACGAGAGATAGTTCACATTGGGTTCACCATACGACGAGTTCCTCTTCTTTAATTATAAACAAAACGTGATAAAAATATTAACTAAATATAGTGTTGTAAAGTATCATATATATAGAGCTACAATAACATGAACTACGAAAATTAATAATCACGTTCTGATAATTATAACAAGCAATTACTTACCTACGAAATATTATAACACGACCAAGTCGTATCACTTTTTTCTGTTTTTGTACAAACAGAATGAATAATATGACTTATGAATCGAGTTGTACGGATTGTCTGCACGATTTATTACTGTCATCTGTAGAATTAATCGTATAATTATATGCAAACAGCGAGTGGTCCACATTGGGAAACTGTCCGAATTGGGTCCGGTATTACCTTAGTTTACATTCTTAACTTAATACTTCATTATTTATTTCATTATTATCACATTTGTAAATTTATATTTCATTTAACAACTGTGTATGTAACTTGCCATTTGATGGCTTAGAAATCATAAATGTCCAAGTCTATTCTACTAGGTCTAAATGCAACCAGACGAGTCTGTAGCAGCTGCTACAATACCGTTAAACAAACCTACGTGAAAGCTCAATCAAAGCTTACCGATCTCCTCGTCACATCATTCCACGACACTATGCTTGTCGACTCGCAAGCGGTACAATGCTATTCAATCCCGTCGTGAATTCTGTTTTGTCAAAGGCCGCTTCGCGATTAACAGCTCGCCGGCGAATGAAAATTAGCGGCCTTTGCTCAAATTAACGACGACAGGCAAGACTTGATTAATTCCGACGCTACTTCCTCGCGCGATGAATGCGTGGCGGATTAAGAGCTGCAAGCCTGCGAGGACACAATTTCGACGCAGTTATGGCGTGAGATTTGAAGCGGTCGAAGGCCAAAGAGAGAGGAAAGGAGAGGAGAAGAGACGAGAGGAGAGGAGAGGAGAGAAAGGGGAGAAAGGGGGGGGGGGGGGGGGG